TTGTCTTTCTTTATTATTTTCGAGCTGGGAATGTGAACATAGTAAAATAAATAATCATAAAAAATAGACTCGATCGGGTGGAGAGCCAAGTATACAGTCACGTACTACATGTACGTGAAAGAAAAGGGAACAAGGAACTACGTTCTGCTCTGCACGATGTATGTTCGCGTATCCTCCCCTCCAGTCCAGTTGATCTTCGTATCTTAGAGCCACATGAGTTGCGTGGTATGTGTTATGCATCATTGTTTGACGGTATTGTCCAATAGTCTTGCCAGTATCGTCATCGACATACATGTACTTTGTACATCAACCAGTAGGGTCCAGCGGATATTCCCTCCGAAAATGTTCGTATAATGCTTATCATATTGCTCCAAAAACTACCTCATAGTGCTGATTATAATGCTTCAACAAGGGTTATACTGCTCTTGGTTTGATTCAGAAAGGAAGAAAGGCTGCACATATTCAATCTGCCGCTGAATCCTGCGCAATATATTCCACAGGCTCCACCACCTTGTAGCACTATAACTTAAGACATAATCGATTCGCCAGTGGTTGCTCTCCATTGCAGCTTTGACGCAGGGCTATGGCTGAATAGTGTACATGTATATCATATACTATCCCGACAATGGCGACATTATCAAGGGAGTGACAGGTATAAACTAGGGATCATTGGGATGAGGTTTATCATGGCAACTGGTTGTCCTGCCTGCAGACAATCTGTCACTGCATTGGTTCTGTGAATAATCTTTCCACCTGAAACAGCAGATATTATGCTAGATCACTTCCATTTGCTGTGAGCGTGAAAAGAATGTGGCCAGATTATGTTGCTGCTCTACTTCCTTTACTTTCATAGTCTTCTTCTCCTCCTGGTGTTGCATACACAACTGGGTGGCAACATTGACAAGAGTACTGTACTCTTCTTTGTTGATAGCACTTGACTCACGGTCAGTCACTGCTGTCTAGTCTTGGGAGCACAGCTAGCTGCCAGTCCACATCTACATGACATGTACATGTGCGTGTTTCATCAGGAAACTCAGACACGCGCTGCTGCAGAGTGCTCATAACGACCTGGTGCTGAATCCATGAGTAATTCTAGTTCTTTTCGAGCCAGTTCGGCTGGACTCAGCAAAGGCAGTTCGTCGGAACAACGCGTATCTCTTTCTGCTTGTAGCTGCTCTTTCAGCCTGGTCCAAATTTAATAAATGATGTATCAAAGGATCGGCGTCTACTTCACTATCGCTACTAGCCTAGTAACGCTATCTTCAGAGCCTGAGGCACAATGAGAAACTTCTCTTCAGCTTTTCGACATTCACTTCCCCTCCATGGCTCTCTATGTTTTCGACAAAACAGTTTCCGCCTTGCAAATCCTTAAGGCCTTGTTGCGAATTTTTGTAACAGCTTTGGTTGGGCGCACGTAGTCGTAGATACATGATTGCAGTCATTGACCTGACTACATACTACATAGTCATTGCTAGATCAAGTGCTAAAATGTGTCACGTGTCTACACAAAAGCGCTCCACGATCCAGTAACACGAGGAGGGTTGCACCAAATATCTCAATTCTCATGAGTGTATCCGATTGTTGCCAAAGTGCTGTGATTTCCCGATATTATCCACTATGAAAGCCCAAACGCCGCTGAAATCTCACAAAATGCTAGTGTCTTTCTTTCTAATGCTCTGATGTTCGGATAGTCCCACAATCTTAATGCCGAATATAATGCCGACATTATCCGCTGGACCCTATCCGCCAGCGTCAGTCACAGTGAGACCTTCTGCTTGCGCTTGTCTCGGTTACGCCCAGCTTCCTCTCCTATGTTATTAGTACAGTGTACTTTATTACTATAGCCCAGAACCTTCCAAGTAGAGCCTCTGTGTATAGCCCAGAACCTTCCAAGTAGAGCCTCTGTGTATAGCCCAGAACCTTCCAAGTAGAGCCTCTGTGTATAGCCCAGAACCTTCCAAGTAGAGCCTCTGTGTATAGCCCAGAACCTTCCAAGTAGAGCCTCTGTGTATAGCCCAGAACCTTCCAAGTAGAGCCTCTGTGTATAGCCCAGAACCTTCCAAGTAGAGCCTCTGTGTATAGCCCAGAACCTTCCAAGTAGTAGTTGGAAGGCTGTTGGAGTGCGCATCTAAACCGTGCTAGAGCTGAATGGCAGTTTAGTTGTAGAATGTCAGTACCATTGGGCAGTTTCGTGCAAATTTATTGCATACCTACATTAATATCATAATATTATTATTTTAATATCATATTATTGCAGAATCTAAAGACGCAGTGGAAACACAGGCCAATGTGAAGACAGTGGGTGATAGCCAATCACGGTGTGCATGAACTGATTGACAAGTTACTGGCGGTGTCAGTGGACATTGAAGCGTAACTTGTAGTTCCTTGGTCCTTTTTCTGTCATATAAATAATCCTTGGTTCTTCATCCGAGTCTATTCTTTGTTGTACTTTCACGTTTCATTGGGTTTACACTTCATGAGTTTTATTTGGCCGTGAAAGAGGCTTTTGTGGTGAAAAGAGGTTCATGTCCTGCTTGGATGCCGAAGGAAGTAAGTTCTGACACCCGAGCCACGCGCAATTAGGTAGTGGTTACGAAACGCGTGGCCAGGCAGTCAGGCTCGAAGAGGGTGTGATTTTTATATTTATATTTATTACAACATCTCAAGATCCGGTGGAAACACCGGCCAATGTTAAGAGAGTGGGTGATTGTCAACCACGGCGATAAATAACAGTAAGGCCCACACTAAGGGGAGGGAAAAAGAAAGAGGTGTGACAGTCATGCACATGGGACACCCGATTCAATGCACAATTGGGATTCCAAATAAGCACGTTATAATAGCCCCCCCCCCCTTAAACCAGTTAACTATACTAATAGTAATAATAATTTTTTGAAAGGATTGGGAGAACTTCAAATTCAAAGGATCAGTTGGGGAAGTGAACTGCCTGAAAAGAGAAAAATTCATCACTTTCTTTCACTTCTGGTAGGGTCCAGAAACTGACCGTGGTTGGTCCCCTGGGGGAGGGAGAAAGACCCAAGTGCCATCAGTATGTGTGGCACGTGTTGTGACCTGCCTTTGGAATTGGAGTGAAAAACTTGTCAGCGCCTTTTAGGTTCGGCCTGGTCCCATAGCTCAGTGGTTAGAGCATTGCTTATGACAAGCAAGGTCCCGGGTTCGAGTCCTGGTGGGGATTTTTTCTCTTTTCAGGCAGTTCACTTCCCCAACTGATCCTTTGAATAATAATAATGATAATAATAATAATTGAGAAAAAGAGAAGAAACACATGAGAACGAGTTATGCAGCAACTATCCACGACTGTAACAAGATGATAAACGGTCAGAAAGTGCGATAGTAGGGCACAAAACTGTTGGTTTGCGCACTGGAGATGTGTTGGAGCTAGGCCGCGGGTCGCTGAATGTCTGAGTAGCTTGTCAGTTTTGCGCCCCATTATCGCACTTTCTGACCGTTTATCACCTTGTTACAGTCGTGGATAGTTGCTGCATAACTCGTTCTCATGTGTTTCTTCTCTTTTTACATTTTATTACTGGCTCAGTATCCGAGTTTAAATAACAATAATAATAATTATCGTCTTCGTTCCAAAGGGAACTCACGACAATGGAGCAACAAAAAAGGCACCGCGGCAGAGAGAAGCTCTTTCTTAAAAAATAAAAATAAATAAATGAAATAAAATCACAGCCGCTCATGTGTGTTCACACCACCGCAGAACAAATGTTACTCCACTTCTGCCGGTCCACTGCACAACTTCTGAGGGTTTCGAGGTGCCGGCTCGTCTTCAATGCGATGGCGGTGAACTTGACGACGTCTTGCTGGAGGGTGGTGACTAAAACAGGACATTGGAGCTCCCCTCCTCAGGCTCCTGTGGTTCACAGCGTCCTCCATTGATGCGTTTGCAATCATTGCTTGATTGCCTGGTGTCGATGATGGCTGGCGTAGGATGTGTCCAAGCAGACGTCATCTCGCTCGTTATACTGAAGTACAATGTAGGCATGCATGACCAACCATACTGTGCAAGTACATGTACATGTATGAATACCATTAATTTTTACATTTAAAAATTAGCGCTAATCAAGAGCTCAAGTATATTCAGGCAGGAACGGGGACAATGCACTCCATCATGAGGGAGTCCATGCACTCCACCTCTACTAGTACTACTGTACTCTGTAGATTCTCTATGTAGTATGTAGTGCAGACATCGGGCACGTAACGCTACAGTCATTGTACTGGAACGTTCAGGTACATGTACAGTACAGTAAGATCGGGCGCCGAAGAACACCTCGCCGAAGAACACCCATGCTGGAAAACCGGCAAAATTTAAGAACAGTCCAAGCTAGAATTATCAGATTTAAGAACACTTTTAAAATTTGGAATTTCCACATGAGTGCAGTATTTAAAAAAAAAAGTGAGTTAGGACTACATGTACGTTGTCATACATGTACTTACATGAAGTTGCGAATTTACACGTAGATCTACATTGTACATGTATGGGAGGTGAGTACATGTCATGTACACGTGTAAACAGTAACTGCTACATGTACAGTCATTCCCATTTACGACACCCACTAGTTTAGAAGTACATGTACTACATTGCACTACATGTACATGTACATGTACATGTACATGACAAACGTCATGACGTCACTCGACTCGCCGCGCGCGTGTGAATAAGATTAAGAACGGTCTGGCTAGAATTTCCTAGGCTGCGCTCGAGCCCCTGCGTTCTTCGGCGCCCGATCTTACTGATAAGAAGCAAGATAGATCGAGTTCACGGGATTCTTGGTAGCTGGAAGGGCACCGGCGTATGTCCTCTTGCTACTGCTAGCGGGGCATGACCAAACCGTCTTGAACAGCCCAGAGATAACAAACAGACCGTATAAAGGTGCTCATGGAGCCAGGACCACCGGGGGTAATACGTTATGCCAAGAGTACATAACCCATGGGGGGGGGGGTTATGTACTCTTGTACTCTTGCTTGTGTGTTCCTTCACGTCCATGCTCAGAGTTCCTGCATGGCTTTCCTCCTCTTCTATCCCAAAGCCTTCTCTCGACTTTCTACTGAGGAGCAGCGGGTAGACGTACAGTATAAAATGTGACAACATCCTCGTCTGCTTTTAGACAGGGACCGGCACAAGCTGGTGACCCGCAGCACTCCAGGTGACCAAGTTGTGCGAAACTACAGCAGCACACTACCTGTGATAATACTCTTGCCCCTGTCTCTCTGTACAAACTATCAGAGCCTTCTATGTTTATCACAATGATAATGCTGCGGAATGATATCATTTGCAGGGCAGCACTATTCTGGATGATTGTAGTATCCGCCAGTAATGCTGAATTGGACAATGGAGATTCACAAACCTCTGCAGCATCAAACCAGTCGACTGATTGTATGCAAGCCTTCTTCCAACAGTCTGGAGTACGCAGGTCACATGTCACTCAGTACGTTGCCAATTTCCGACAAAATGGCATTGGACCAGAGGTTCTGTTTGACTTGAGGTTTGTGGACTTGGCTAGTATCCTGCAAGACACGTTTGGCATCACGTATGCAGGTGATACGTTCAGCATCCATACTTGTATCACTGGTCGAGGTCGGTGTATGGTGCAGCCTTTCTGCCATAACGAGGGGACTTGTGTCTACAGTGACGTCACTAGACAACACCATTGCAAGTGCAAGCACAAGTATACCGGACCAAGATGTTCCAAGAAAGTCGAGAATCCCGTGGAGGAACTGAGACGGAAGGTAAAACAAATGTCTGTCGTGTTAGCCAATGTTGGTGTGTCGTACACCCGCTGGGGAAGGAACTCCTGTAATTCCTCTTCGGGGGCCGAACTTGTTTATGCTGGACAAATGGCTGGATCGCCTCACCTTCAGACGGGAGGTGGATCCAATTTCATCTGTTTGCCAATGCATCCACAGTATGACAAATACAGGAGTGGAGCTCAGGCCAACAGTTACCTTTATGGCTCCGAGTTTCAGACCGATGGTAATTACTTCTTACCGTTTGGTGGTCTTTACGACCAGAACCCTACCTGTGCTGTATGTCACGTGACGGGAAGATCATCCCAGATCATGATTCCTGGTCACATGACCTGTCCGCCATCATGGAGTCGGGAATACCATGGTTACCTGATGAGCGCGCACAACGCTCACAATGGTCGTACGGAGTTTATCTGTGTTGATGGCAATCCTGATGTGTTGCGTGGTGAGAGTGCCAACACGAATGGAGCTCTCCTCTACTTTGTTGAGGTCAATTGCGGCCATGGATTGGACTGTCCACCATTTCACGCGGACGAGGAATTGACATGTGTGGTTTGTTCCCGATAAAATAATGATAATTATTAATATTGGTATTTCTCCACGTGCCTAGAAAGTAGACTGTCCTCGCGCATTTTGTTGATCTTCTAGCTACATGTACGTGTACATGTACATCAGTACATGTACACGTACCAGTATACATGCACCTGTACAGTAACTGTTGTAGCACAGTGTTCTAACTGTTACTCAAGTATGTACATTGTACATGACATTGTGTACAGTGCACATTTCCAGTCACGCTCACGAGTAACAACTAGTTACCTCTCGGTTGTAACCATAACTCGTGAGTCACATTGTTCCTCTGAACATGATGTCACTATCTCTGAACATGATGTCACTATCTTCAGAGGAAGTAACCATGCCAGTTGACCGAATACACTAACTGTTAGTAGTATACTTGAACCTGGCGAATGCGAATGCGCACTTTTCTCGTGGCCTATCGAGGATCGAGGGTCCTAATTAATATTTGCAAGATTGACTGTTTATCTGGCGTGGTACTAGCCACTGCCACTGGCTTGTGTCACAGTTGTGCGAACATACAGTGCAGAAGAAGAATGCCATAATAATCATACATGTACATGTACAAGGAACTGTATCATTGGCATTCACTGCACTTTTGCGTAGTGGTTTTCTTGTTGGAGCTAGCTTCATGCATTCCTACTGCTCGCGACATACATACATGTACATGTACATGTACCATTGCCAACACACTTGTTGAAGTTAGTTGCCTTATTCTGTTGTGTCCGTGTGTTGCTACAGTATCTGTATTTCTGCTCGAATGAAGTGTTAGCCGCGGTGCCTTTGTATAACGTTATTGTATTATCCCCATACCAAGGTGTCCATGCAGTGTAAGAGCCTAAGAGGTCAACATGGAAAAGAGAAAACAATACTTCTTCTATTCATTACTTGATTTCTTTTGTACTTCAGTAAAAATATAATTTCATTGCCAAATTAGTTTGAGTTACCTTTGAAAATTGTCATGTTCAACTGTCTTCGTAATCAGCATACTCGTCCAACCGATGTCACCCTGGGCCTCACCCTGCGAATAATCAGCTCTTCTCTCCCGTAGCTCCACTTCTCCTTCCATCATGACCGAACATCAACTATACATCAATTTAGAGCAATATCCGTAGCCTGCAGTCATATCATGGCTGCTAAAATCCAGACTGGTCATGACTTCGTAGCATGCATAATGTGCAAATGTAATGTACGTGTACCGGTACATGTTCACGTAGTTTTGCGGACTACCCGCCACTACCTCTTCCGCCCCGGGATACCTGATGAAGGCTGATTCACTCGCATCTTCTGCTACATGTACTGCGTCAGTGTGAGAAAGAACTTTGAAGAAGACGAGTTCGAGCATACAATAATGTATTGCCATGATTTCTACCCTGCTTTTCATTGAAAACACTATCTGCATGACCTCCAAACCCTTTGCCATGCAGACCACCAGCACTGATCAGGTGCATTGTACACAATTGTATAGCCTACATACTAGAACTGTGGTATAATCGTGTAGTTATGCTCCTACCTCCGAGAGGATGCCAAATTATGCTCCAAATTTTCAACCACCAAATTATGCAAATAATTATGCCGGCATAATCCGCCGGTAAGTAAGTAAGTAAGTAAATTATCGGTGCCTAGTGCTAAAGCATAATATGCGGATTTTACGAGCATAATGCGAGAATCCATGAAAGCATAATTCCTTGATTTTGCGAGCATAATCCGCCGGAGCCTAATCCCTTGATCCAGAAGCCGCGCAGGGCTACTGCAATTATCCATGGATATATTCTAGGAATGGCCTAGGCCCACGTCAAACAGAGAATAACTGTTGAAAGGACTGGAGTACTAATATACTAAGTGGACAACACGAAACAATCAGGACTGATGCTGTTGATGAGGAGGAACGGTCAATGGAACTTCAGAGGCAGGACGAAGAGGAAAAGGTTGGGAGAATAATGGCTGACAGGGATGATGAGACGGATGACAATGTGACGAACGACGATGAAACGGATAGTGGTGAGGACGATGAGGAAACAGGAGGTAATGAATTTGATGAAGCAGATGGATGGTCATGCGAAGTCAACTGTGTACTTGCATTAAAATTTTGTTATCCCGTCCAGACTGTTTGAGTGTGTATGATGATTCTCATTTCTCTGTATTGTGTCGTACCCGTTATGTACAGCAGTCGAAGGTCCTCGAAGCTGTTTGTACACGTATCCATAAGCATGATCTGTGCAAGCAGAGGAACTAATTACTTGCTGCAGCACTTAAGTTGTTTTCGTCAGTCTCCGCCATCCGTACTACTTCTACACGTTAGCAAGTCAAATTTGCACCAAATCTTTAGTCTCTATCTTACTTGTATGGCACTTTTGCATTATCTCTACCACTCTCTGGGATGAAGAGGCTGGTGCGACCCCTTCCTCACATTACATCCCTCCCCAATTTCATTAATTACTGCTTTCTATCTGCATTCGCCACCTTTTCATTGGGCAGATCTGCCCGTTTGGTTTGCAAATTAAAATAAACACAACAACGACGACGACGACGACGACGACGACGACGACGACGACGACGACGACGACGACGACGACGACGACAACAACAACAACAACAACAACAACAACAACAACAACAACATTGTTGTCCCCAGCGCGGGCTTGCAAATTAGATGGTTTGGAGGCAACAATACAACGACATACGTTGCGAATGGCCAACGGTCCTTGGCGTTTGTTCAGCACCTCCGTCTGTCACGCTGGAAACGGAGCGTCTGCTGGAAAGTTTGTATCCCTGGTGATGGTTTGGTCTGGAGAGCACTATAGGTGGTGCTCTTCACTCAGGCACTATCTTCCTCAGCTTACTCAAGCTCAACTGATGAGGGGTTAATTCCCCGAAACACTGTGTATTGATCAGGGACTGGTGCTTTCTTGCAGGTTTGCCGAGTCGGAGTGGAAGGTGGGTGGACTTCTCGTATGCTCTGGATGGCAGTCGTGAGTCAGTCAAGTGAGAATTAAAATCGGCAGGAAAGGCGCAAGCTCCCAAGTCGGAAGCGACACACAACACTCTCTTGGATATTTTTAAAATCTTTGTGTAATCACTGCATGGCTCCAGTTCCGTTTTTCCACCCACGATTGGAACTTGAAAATAGATTTGGAAAGTGTAGATCTACTCAGGGGCGTGCTCGGCCCCCCAACTAGGGGGGTGCACGGGAGCCGAGGGGAGCCCCCCGGCAATTTTCTGCAATTTGTTTGCAACCTTTCTTGAATTTTAGAGCATATTTGCATACATTACAATTGCAATTACCCAGATTGAACATTTTTGGGGGGTGCACGTGCCCCCTGTGCCCATCGCCGAGCACGCGCCTGCTACTAGTATACATAAACAAGTTGTCATGCTGCGTGGTGATGTCCGCGGAATACATACTACAGCTGTAGTACTACTTTTTATAGCTCTATTTAAAATTAATAATATCATAACAGTCATCTACATGTATTACAGACTGTAATACTCGTACTGACTAACACAGAGAATGTAGTGAGCTTGTAGCTAAAGCTTATGCTTAGAGATAGGCCACGGGCTATAGCCAGCAAAGAATGCAGTGTGCAGGCGATCATTTTTAGGATCACAGCAGAGGACCGGCTGAAGCACAGTGTAGCAGCTGGCTATCCTGAGGGAAGAGACACTACACACAGCAAGACGTACACTGCGAGACTAGCTATGAGTATGACACGTGTGGGCAAAGAGCACAAGGTGCAGGATCACAATGTATGTGAAAACGAACGATGCGACATACCAGGTACTGTACTGCTCAGAGTTTAGTGACAATTGTCGAAATGGATGATCACCTGGGACACTAGTAATCAAAGGAATACTAAATCCACACGAATGGCCGACAGGACAGCCTTCATTCAGACATGAAAGCAGCTGCGCATGACTTAGTGCTGTATGTAGCTGTACTGTATTGTGTTTCCGGCAGTGCACATCTATACTGAAATCCATGTAGAAAAGCTTCGGCTCACAGGAGAGTCTAGCGCAAGACTACCCAAGTATACACGCACCTCAATACATCGCCCCGCTATTTTATATAAACAGAATAGCTAGGGAGGGTGTGAGCAAGATTCATGCATGGTGATTGCCAAATGTTGACGCACTTGGGATATGACCAGTTACCTAGAACAAACCACACATGTCAATTCCTTCACTGCCTCGAATGGTGGACAGTCCAGTCCAACGCCACACTTGACCTCTACAAAGTACAGCGAAGCTCCATCAATGTCTGCACTCTGACCACGCAACACATCAGGATTGCCATCAACACAGATAAACTCCTTACGACCCTTGTTGGATATGTGCGTGCTCATCAGGTAACCATGGTATTCCCGACTCCATGATGGCGGACAGGTCATGTGACCAGGAATCATGATCTGGGATGATCTTCCCGTCACGTGACATACAGCACAGGAAGGGTTCTGATTGAAAAGGCCACCAAACGGTGCGAAGTAACCAGTATCGGTCTGCAACTCTGAACCATATAGGTAGCTTTGACCCTGGACTCCACTCCTGTATTTGTCATATTGCGGATGCATTGGCAAACAGATGAAATTGGATCCACCTCCAGTGTGCCCGTAATACGTTCCAGCCATTTGTCCAGGATAAACAAGTTCTGCACCGGAAGAGGAATTACAGGAGTTCCTTCCCCAGCGGGTGTACGACACACCAACATTGGCTAACACAACAGACATTTGTTTTACCTTCCGTCTCAGCTCCTCCACGGGATTTTCGACTCTTTTCGAACATCTTGGTCCAGTGTACTTGAGGTTACACTTGCAATGGTGTTGTCTTGTGACTTCACTATAGACACAAGTCCCCTCATTATGGCAGAAAGGCCGGACAACACACCGACCTCGACCAGTGGTACACGTATGGATGGCGAAAGTATCACCTGCATACGTGATGCTAAACGTGTCTCGCAGCATGCTGACCAACTCCACAAACCCCATGTCAAACAGAACCTCTGGTCCGACGCCATTTTGTCGGAAATTAGCAACGTACTGAGTAACATGTGAACTGCGTACTCCAGCCTGTTGGAAGAAGGCTTGCATACAATCATTGGACTGGTTTGATACTGCGGAGGTATTAACATTGCTGGATGTAGTGGCCCTTGCACCAGCCACCATCACCACCGACACTACCCAACGAATTGTGGTAATTGCCCACATTCTCGAAATCGGCAGTACTCCGGTCATACTAGTTGAGCAAGAAAGTGGCGAAGAGACCGTCACTCTCCTAGCTCCTTTCTCTTGGATATACTGAGGATATTCTCGGGAGCTCAGAACACCAGCTGAGGCGCGAGGTAATGATGAGAGTAAGACTTCTTTGGAATCATTTTTCATCTGCTTTATCTACCAGAGAAAGCAGTACAATCATGTCACATGTCACAATCACATGTGGATGTGAGGCGTGTCGCAGGGATAGTACATACAGCACTTACAGGTACATGCACGTCTATGATCTAGTGCTTGGCTGGGACCCGTCAACGCGTCCGGGGCAAGAACGTCTGCGGGATTCTGGCGCGATGCAGAATAATCTTGCAGCCTTGTTGAGAACTAGAAGTGGATGAATGCACACAGCAGTACAGGCAAGAAGCATGTGCTCCTGTCACAAGACCCACAACACCTGTGCCTACATTTTGATTTTGATTGTAGTCTACAAGCTTCGCCCGCTCGTTTTTCATAACTACGTTCCGACCTTTCTCCTTCGTAGTGGAAAAGTGTAACCTTTTTTGGGGAAGAATGTTGTCAAGCATTTCCCTAGTGCATGCACCTGATATATCTGATTGCTATACAATCATCGATCCTGGCCAATCTGACTGTCACTTAGGTCCAATTTCTTCGTAGTCTTGTTAGAGATTCACCTGATGCCTCAACGTGTGTTAGCATTGTGCCGGAGGCCAGTCTAGCAGACGATTGTTGCACACAAGCCGGACCTACTACAGTCAACTTGGCTAATAACGACTGCGGGTGTAACGACAATTCGCGAATAACGACATAATTTTCATGCCCAGGGCAAAGTCCCATCCAACTGTGACACATAATTATTATAATGAGACTTCGGGTATAACGACACTTCGCGAATAAGGACACTTTTCTGATGCCCCGGCCCCGCCGAGTGAAGCGAAGTTAGTTGACTGTACATGTACTGTCGTGGACATGAAAATCCCGTCGCCCGTCTACGAGGTGATTATGCATTTTTAAGCATGATGGTAAAATCGTACAATATCGGGGTGTCAGTGCGCATGTGTATACATTTTTTGGCCTCACTCAGAAGATGATCCCTTTCTTTCTATCTTCACCAAGTTTCAACTGAATATGATTATCATAACGCCCCAAGGAATGGATTACATTTGGGTTGATATGATGCTATGAATATGAACGTTTTAGATTCTAAGCATTGTGTAAAATGACTATGTTTAGTGTTATTTAAATAATCGACGTGGAGACAACAATTTTATAATAGCTATAAAGAGAACAAATTCTGCTGTCATCGCCACACTACAACAAAGTCATGAAAGTTTACCAAAATCGATTTTTTTGTCACAATCATCAGTGGAAAGCCGTGACTGAAGAGTAACTAACCATGCTGAATCAATGATTAATATACATTCAATAATGTGTTACGAGAACAAAACAAAGTGCTAAAATAGAATGAGGGAAGGTGAGACAATAGAAGTGAAGTGAGAGATAAGTGCAACAGGGGTGAGGAACTAATTACAACGCTAGAACTGTGTATTGAGACAAACAATCATGCTGTGCACCCACGAAAACAATCTTAACGCAACTACATGTTTCTTCTGCTTACAAAGATCAGGCTTATGCAAACGAATACAAACAGCCTCAAGTACTTTCTACTGACTAGCGTACCGTGCACGTCTTTATAGCTATTATAAAATTGTTGTCTCCACGTCGATTATTGACATATTTTAAACGGAGGTCTTTGTGGTCCACTTTCACGACAATAACACACACAGAAGTCTCTGCTGTGAGCACGGTGGCTCGGCAATGGCTTTATTTATTGATATTATATCCTCTTCCTGATTTTTTTTTTTTTTTAATAATTGGATGCATAGAGATAAGAAAAATAAGCACAAGATACTGCTGCTAGTCGCACAGCAAAGCACACAGAAACGACAAGATGTTACAATGAATGTAACAACACCCGTCCAAGCTAAAGGACCTACATCCCTGCCCCAGGACGGTATCTTGAAAAAACCCACACACTCACCACACGGTCATCATCCAGCTTCAGTCCAATCACAATACAGTAGTATTCTTCCCATGCAGATTCAATTGAACTCCCCTGGCACTAGCTATACAATCTGAAGCTGTACGTAACCATACAAAGGCCCGCGACGCACACACCACCCCTACGTTTTTTAAACTAAAAAAGAAATGCAGTCGTAACTGCCACAGCCACATGGCCAATAAGAAAGCCGATAAGATTATATCGATAAACACACACCCAGAAGTCAGGGGTGGGAGGGTGGGATACAAACTGCACCAACGAAAAGCCACTGCGAAGTGACAGGAATGCGGTCAAGCACAACATTTTTGCTGACGCAAAAAGTTGCAGGGAAATCCCAAAATCAGTGCGATTTTACATGAGCCCCAAATGTTCAAGTTACCCACAAAGACACAAGCTTTCCAACTCTCTTTGGCCGTTGGAAAGCGTACCATACTCTAGGAGTCAGGTTGAAATCCTGAATGATGTTCTGCGCAAACGCTACGTAGCTAGAAACATTTCACATAGTATTATCTTCTTGAAGCGCTGTAAGGAAAATGGCGTGTGCCCTACTTCCATCCAGAATCGGGTGCACAAAGCCCGTGCATATCACTCATTAGCAATAGAAAGAGTATTCCTCAAAGACGACATTGCGCGCTCTACTGACACATTGTGTTCTGTTAAGTCTCAATTTAATCGTCTGTGTAGTGCGGCTCGTTCGTTCCTTTCCTATCACGACTACGTCAGATTCAGTACACTCCTGGCGGAGAATGACAGCAAACAGCAAGTCAAACTCCTCGCCAAGTACGATGAGACGGAGGACGAGGTTGCGGTTGGTGGAGACGAGGAATCGGATGGTGATTGTGATCGTAAGAAGTCTGCCGTTTTTCTTCATCTGTTGTCTCACCCTAAGTGTCTGCAGGTGTATGATGATTTTAGTTTTTCTGTTCTTTGTCGTGCACGGTACGCTAGTCAGTTGAAAGTACTTGAGGCTGTTTGTATTCGTTTGCATAAGCCTGATCTTTGTAAGCAGAAGAAACATGTAGTTGCGTTAAGATTGTTTTCGTGGGTGCACAGCATGATTGTTTGTCTCAATACACAGTTCTAGGGTTGTAATTAGTTCCTCACCCCTGTTGCACTTAGCTCTCACTTCACTTCTATTGTCTCACCTTCCCTCATTCTATTTTAGCACTTTGTTTTGTTCTCGTAACATATTATTGAATGTATATTAATCATTGATTCAGCATGGTTACTCTTCAGTCACGGCTTTCCACTGATGATTGTGACAAGAAAATCGATTTTGGTAAACCTTCATGACTTTGTTGTAGTGTGGCGATGACAGCAGAATTTGTTCTCTTTATAGCTATTATAAAATTTAGTGTTATTTCATCGCATTCTTCCATTCTACACACATACATGTACATGCTAGAACAGTGACAAGTACTAATGCCAAAAAACCAAAGTCTTCCGCAAGCAATTAGAGCCCTAAAGAAGTGGCTTCCCAGCATCCACTGAAACCAAAAAGTTTTAAAGAACCACAACATGTGCATTACAATTGAAATAGAGCATGGCCCGGGTCTGGCAACACCATAGAAGCATGATTACTTGAAGATCATACTTCAAGTAGTAGCGTGTGGACTATGAACAGAACAATGAACCGGAATAAATAAGAAAGAAGAAGAAATTGTCCGAAGGGCCGCCAGGAGAACGTGTCCAAACCTGCGCCACACATGGCCATCAGCTCAACTGGATCCACTGGATGATGGTGGGGTTCCTCTTGGTGTCGGCCGAGCAGCATATCCAGTTGGTAGCCTGGGTCCGCTGTAATTGCTGGGCCGTGGGAGTCTAGGCTGCATCAGGAAGGCTGGTCGAGGTGAAACAGCCACCGTTGCCCTGGGTAGTGGAGTTGAAACACTCCTAGGCCAGAAGTAATTTCTGTACGAACTCCACAAGTTGGACTTCATATCGCATTGGCAACTTCGCTCTCTGGCCAGTTCTGCATGGTGTCCGGACATTCACGACGGTAACATCAGGTTCCAGCGAAACCTCATATTCTCTCAACTTCAGGTGAAGTGTCGTGTCAGACACTTTGATGTTCATCAAGGCTAACAGCTCAGATGCTCTGCGCCCATCCTTCCGCAGATTGCCCGTGTGCATTGGCTCCACGGCCCATTTCACGCCCTCACGATACATGCCCACCAATCCATGTGTCCCATACTTGACATTGTCACCAGGATGTGTGCATTTGGCTTTGATGGCAGCCTCCACGGTTGCCATGTCAAACTCTATGCCACCAGGTGCAGATGGTGTGGTCACTGAACCATTGTCGTGAACATCTGGCAGAGGTGGAGGAGGAAGGTGCCCA